GTTCTGGTATTCTTTGACGATATCCTGATCTATTCAAAGTCATGGGACGAACATCTCGGGCATCTAAGGATAGTTCTCGAAATTCTGGAGGCCAACTCATTCCACATCAAACCGTCCAAGTGTTCATTCGGGCAGGAGATGGTTGAATATCTTGGACACTTCATATCCCATGACGGTGTGAAGGTCGACCCACGAAAAATTGAGGCTATGGTCGACTGGCCTAAGCCAACTAGCCTCACACAGTTGAGAGGATTTTTGGGGCTTACAGGGTACTACCGAAAGTTTGTAAAGGATTATGGAACCGTCGCCAAACCGTTGACGGCGATGACTAAGAAAGGTGGGTTCACGTGGACCGAAGCTAGCGAGAAGGCGTTTGGAAAACTGAAGGAAGCGATGAAAACAACGCCGGTACTCGCCATGCCCAGATTTGATGTCTTGTTTGAGGTACATACCGATGCAAGTGACATTGGAATTGGGGCGGTGTTGGTGCAAGAGGGGCGACCCCTAGCCTATCTTAGCAAAGCATTAGGCACTACTCGACTGGGTCTGTCAGTATATGTGAAAGAGATGCTAGCAGTTGTCGAGGCTATGCGGTGCTGGAGACCTTATCTACTAGGTCGGCGATTTCAGATTGTTACCGACCAGCAACCGCTCAAGCATCTGTTGGAACAAAGGATAGTTACCCCCGAACAACAGAAGTTCGTGTCTAAACTTATGGGGTTTGACTTCGAGATAATCTATCGGCCGGGTCAACAGAACGCTGTGGCCGACGCGTTATCCCGACGAACGGACGTGGCCGAGTTAAGCGTGATCACGGGGCCTACTTGGGCCATTTGGGAAGAGATCCGAAAAGCACAAGCGGAGGATACCCATTGCCAGGAGTTGCACCGATCAATAGAAGCAGGTAAGACAACTGCTATCGACTACGAGCTGCATAACGATCTACTTCTACACCGAGGTCGAGTATATGTCCCCGACAGTGGGCAGATGCGCGAGCAGATCTTGCAGCACTTCCATGACTCCAAGGTTGGAGGTCACTCGGGTATTTATCGCACGTGGATGAGGATAGCCAACACTTTCTTCTGGCCGGGGCAGCAAGGTACCGTCCGGGACTACATAGCACGATGCGACAATTGTCAGCGTACTAAGTCTGACTCACGACGGCCAGGTGGGCTGTTACCACCCTTGCCAGTACCCGAGGCGATTTGGGAAGACATCACCATGGATTTCATCGAGGGGCTACCAAATTCTAATGGATTTGACGGTGTTATGGTTGTGGTGGATCGTCTCACGAAGTACGCGCACTTCATACCCATTACCCATCCTTACACCGCAAAGTCAATTGCCAGGTTATTTGTGGAGTATGTGATGAAACTGCATGGAGCACCTCGATCTATCGTATCTGATCGAGACCGGATTTTTATGAGCAGTTTTTGGTCCGAATTCTTCAAGTTGCAAGGGACTAAATTGTCTATGAGCTCAGCCTACCATCCACAGACAGACGGACAAACCGAGGTAACTAACCGAACACTTGAGCAGTACCTAAGGTGCTATGTCCATCAATTTCCGAAGAGGTGGGAAAACTTCTTACCATGGGCTGAGTACTGGTACAACACCACCTACCACAAGTCGACCAAGATGACGCCATTCGAGTTAGTGTACGGGCGAAAACCCCCAACACTGATCAATTACTCGGAGGGGAGCACAGTCAACGATGAGGTTGGTCGTGAGCTTGAGGAACGAGATTTGATGCTGCGAGAACTGAAGAGAAATATCGAAGGCTCGATTAATCGGACCAAGTCCTTCGCCGACGGGAAGAGGCGTGAGGAAAATTTTGTACCAGGAGAATACGTCTATTTGAAGCTTCGACCATTCAGGCAACGCACGACTGCGCAAAGGGCAGCTACTAAGCTGGGCGTTCGTTATTATGGGCCGTATCAGATCTTGAAACGCATTGGTCAGGTAGCTTATCGTCTGGAGTTACCCGAAAATTCACAGATCCACCCGGTTATACATGTTTCACAGCTTAAAAGAAGCCTAGGAGAAGCACAGAAGTACTGTGAAGAGCTACCAGCAACGGCGACCGACGGCAGAGCTATAGTGCGCCCAAAACGAGCCATTGAGTACCGTAAGGTAAAGAGGGCAGGACGATATCGTTGGGAGGTGCTAGTTGACTGGGAAGAGCTTCCGAC